ATTCAAATCAACGCAACCTCACGTTGGCGACGAGCACGAGGGGCGGAGCTTTTCCGGCGTGTGCCCCGACGCGCGCTGTGATTGCCCAGGAGAAACGTGAAAATTCTTCCATTAAAACCTTGAAACAGCCCGCCTCCCTCGGTCTCCGCCATGGCGAGTGGCAGCGGCGGCCGGGTCGTCGGCGACCGCGGCGGCGAATCTGAATGCGGTGAGGGAGACCATGGATGGTGAGTGCCCGTTGCGCTCCCTCTACCTTGCTTCCACTTCCCGCAGCCAAGGCCCCCAGGATTGGGGAGCACGAAGAGGGCATGCGGTCTTCTTCCAGCCCCAAACGGCATCTTTGAAGGTCCACGAAGGGACCCGCTAGCACCGCATAGCTGATGGCCCATCCCTTGAGAGTTGTCTCTCGGCTCCGGTGTAGTTTGTCGCGCGCACGGCGTTCTGGCCCTCGCGTCTGCCGGTTGCGCTCCTGAGACCTCGAGGACCGCGCCTTTGCGTCCCACGTCTCGCGCGACCCGCTTCTGTCCTCCCGCGCCCGCCCGCGCTCAGCACCCTTACAGCGCGCAGTCGGAGCGCTCTGGAAGCCGGCGGAACTGGAAACTCCCAGGATATGAGTAGGGGGTGTGCAGTCACCGCTCTGTTTCATGCCCCTGGCACTTCAGTAGGCGCTGTTTAAGTATCCGGCGAATGAACTAGGCGCCCCTTTATCGCAATTGCTCCAGTTAATTTTGGAGCAGATGACTCAGGTGCCCGGCTGCTGTGGCTGTGGTTTCCCATTATCGCGCCCCGCCCGAGGCATGTGGGCATAGAGCCGGCACACATGTATAGACGAAAAAGGTGTCTTCGAGTTAACCTCCTCTACCACTAGTATTTCTGGAGTGAACTTGGTTAGGCTACTTTGTTTTCACCCTGTAAAATAAAACCCTACCTCCCAAGGATGATTGTGAATATTAAGTAAGACAACTAGGTAAAGGCATATCAAAGGCGATCAGCTTTATCACTTTTTACTCGCAACCTTCTAAATGTGTTTTGAGGAATGTTAAATATTGCGAATTATAGTTCGTCTTGACATTTTCCAGGAGTTACCCATATCAGTCTCCTACTCTGTTAGAATATAATTCTGTAGAATTCTCACTAGGTTTGTCAGCCATTCTGCCCTGTCTCCTTCACTGAAGTTCTTATATAGCCCCTCCAAATGGGAGCTTCTGATAAAGGCTTCTGGATTTTTCTTCAGTGACTGCTGCTTTCCTTTTCAAATAATTGTTTGTACTAATAGAGCATTTGCATCTAATTTTTTTTCCTAACCCCTACTTTGCTGTTTTAATGAGACTGTCATTCTTAACATCCTATCAGCTTATTTTTTCATCCTTCTTATACCTCACAGATTATTAGTTTTGTTTTGAAAGCGACTTTATGTACATAAGGGATTGGTATGTATATAACATTACCACATTGTATCTTTCCTTGGAAGCCAGTGTATTTTTGGAATAGGGCAAGAAGTATGAGGCCTTGCTTCTAGCCAATTTTCTCACATTACCAATGTTTAGGGTCCTTATTTATATAGCTGTAGGATCCCATATGAATGAAGAACTGCTATTTTATGCCTGGTGGAAATGAGGATGCACAAATGAGAACTAATAGTTTGCATCATCAGGGTCTTTCCTAAGAGAATTAATGTAAAATGAAGATAATAAAAGAGTGAAAGAACATATAAAAGACCAGAGTTTTTTTGATTACTGTTTCCCTCAATAGCAGCTACTGTATCTTCCCTCAAGACCTAGTACATTTCTCTTCACCTTCTTCCTCCTTTTCATACATTAATCAATTTACAGTGATTTAAACTTTTAATAGATGTCAGTGATTGGCAAGGGTTGCAGAACCCAGCAGTAAAAATTTTCATTTTAATCATGAAATGAAAGGATTTTGTTAACGATACATCAAACTTGGGAGGAAGCAGGTAGTCCTTTTAATTTTTCTGCACATATTATATTTTCCAATACTTTCCTAAAGTTCTAAAATCTTTATTAGGTTCTTAGTGGATTTGCATATCTCCCTTGTCTCCTATTTTACATCCATTTAGTCTGTTAATAACATTGACTTCACACTAGCTATTCAGGTATGTGAATTTACAAGCTGTGTTCTTTGATATCATTTTTAAATTTATTATTAGTTTTAGGTGGACACAATATCTTTATTTTTATGTGGTGCTGAGGATTGAACCCAGTGCCTCATGCATAGTAGGTGAGTACTTTACCACTGAGCTACAACATCAGCCCTGCTATCAGTTTTTATTCTTCTGCCTGACTCTGGTTGATTTCTGTTCATTTCTGGAATCTTAAGATTATTACTTCTTTAGACCAGTCTTTCTGAAACACTATCCTTCCAAACTTGGCAAGATGCCTTTGTAATTCATTACAGGATTATGTTGTTTTCTATTATTTTACTTAAACTGGAATCTTAGTCTGTCTTGAGATACTATACCAGAATATCTGAGACGAGGTGATTTGTAAACAGCAGAGATTTATTTCTTGCAGTTTCAGAGGCTGGAAAGTCCAAAGTTGAGAGGCTTGCAACTGTCAAGGGCCTTCTTGCTGCATCATCTCATGTGGAAGGTGAAAGAACAAGAGTACACTGTACAAGGGGTTGGGGGTGATTCATCCTTTAACAGGAACCCTCTCCCAAGGGATAACTAACCCACTCCTGGAGTGATGATATTAATCCATTCCTGAGGACAGAGCCCTCATGGTTTAGTCACCTCTTAAATGTCCTACCTCTCAATGCTGTTGCATTGGGGATCAAGTGCCTTATCTATGGATTTTGGGAAACACATTCAAACTCTAGCAGTCAGTTATTTTAATACCTATCTCTCCTAGACCATAATGTCTGTGAGGACTAGAATCTCTAACTGTCTGCACAATTATCTTTCAAGCAGTAGCATAATAAGGTGATGTGCATGTGGTACTAATTACACAGTAGGCTATTTCCTTAAGGAAATAATTAATGTTTACAAATAACTTGTGTCAATACAAAGTAAAGATCAATGTCAACTTAAAAACAGACCAGAGCTTAAAGAAAGAAATAACTAAAACTGAGATGAATTCAAAAGACAATATGGAATTATATGAAAGAATGAGTTAAGGCAGAAGAGGAAAACATCAACAAAGTTATAAAGTCAAAAATAAGTATAGCATTTATAGGTAGGGAGTCTACCATGAAGAAAACAAACGGGAAAGAGGAAAATTTGTCAGGAACAGTTAATCATGATGATGATGGTGATGGTACAGTTGGAGTAGGATCTGAGTATCTGTTCTAGTTACCTGTTGCTGCAAAACAAACCACTCCCTAAAACAAAGATTTCTCTCTCACAGTTTTAGGTGTTGACCAGACTAATCATGATAGTTATTACTGAGGATCTCATGGATTTCATTTAGACAGAAGCTAAGTCAACAGTCATCCCAAAACCTCCTCGTTAACTTACCTTCTAAGTGATGCTGAATATCATGTTGACCCTCAGCAGGGGCTGTGCTCTAAACATGAGGTTCCCTCATACTTGGTGGATGGTTTCAAGGGAAAGTGACTCAAAAGAGCCAGGAGGAAGCTAAATTGCCTTTTTAAACCTTGCCAGTACAGTGTCATTTTTGGAAAATACAGTTTACCAGTTGCCCTAAGCATATCTGCACATTCTTGATTTGTAAATCAAGAATGCAAGGCCATAAATGCAGTACTGTTTTCCTTGGGTACTTCTTAAGTGTGTTTATAGCAAACAACAATGAGAAATGGGGCAGCATGTACCCCTAGATAAAATGCAGGCTTGCTTAATACAAAAAAATCCTAACAAGAAAATGTTACATTTTTAACATGGTTAATTAACAGATAACTATAAAAAACCAACTCCATCCTTAATGCTATTGTTACATGCATTTCAAATAAAATTGGAAACACTTGCTTTCACAGTTTTGTAAAAAAAAAAAAAAATACTGATTTTAAGAATTTGACAAATAGCATGAAAAATGATGATTAAAAAAAAGATGAAACTTATTTGTAGGTGAAGTGATCTGACTAGAAAATATAAGAATTGAAAATTTGTTAGAAACTTCAGTAGACTTTGTTACAGTAACTGGCTATAAAATAAAAATTGTAATATCCCCATATATCCAGAGGGAATAAACAAGGATCATAAAATAAACAAACAACAAAAAAAAAAACAATGGAAGTAGAATCCATTTGTGAAAACAGTCAAAAATAAAACAGAAAGTAAAGATTCAGTATGTCAGTTGAACACTTGCTGAAATTTTCTACATCAAGTGTATGAAAATGATAGAAAATAATAAGGTAATATAATTATCAGTATAGCCATATTCAAAAACAAGAAAAGGAAGTCTCCATTGATTAGAGAGGTTTTCCCAAAAGAAAGGAGCAGATGGGAACCACAGCAGGGTATTGGGAATAGAACCTGAGAAAGCATGCGGGCTTGCCTAAGCAAACCTGGAATCAGAAATGTACCATCTGCCATGGCCAGTGACTGAGAAGCACCACCCATTTGTTTTCTGGGTCTAGAGCCAAGATTCTTCTACAAGGCCTGATCCAGAGAGCTGAGATAGGGTGAGACTATCTGAGAACATATCAGCAACCCAGGATGTACAAGAGAAATTCCCTTTAAAAAAATGAATTTTTACAGTCAAGAATGATAGAGGTGGAAAACAACTAAAATGGAAAATTAAAATGATAGTGTGCTAGTAATAGCTAGCCCTTTATTGAGCACTACTGTATGCCTAGCTGCATCCTAAAGTGAATCCGTTAATCCTAACCCTAATTCTATAAAGTTTTATTACCTGCATTTAATGCAGTGGTAAAATAAATACACTTTCCTAGTAATAAATTACTTATCTAGTAATAAAGCTAGGTAGTCTGTCTACCTAGAACCCAAGTAGTCTGTCTCTAGAAATTACATTTCTAACCACTCTTAGGGAAGCAGATTATGGCTCAGTCTCAAAAACACATTAAGAATATAGCCTTAAATATTAAGACAAAACAACAGCAATAAGATAATAGATGGTTAAAGTATTAGTAAATAGGACAATCAAAGCTAAAGAAATGAAAATAGGAACAGCCATCAGCTTTCACCACAGAGTAACAATTTACTTTCTTTGAACAAAACACAGGTAAAACATACAGGACAAAGGTTTTCAAGATACTGGACCTTAAGCATCAAAGGACAGTAGTCCCTGAAGGACAGCAAACAAATGAAGTAAGCTGTCCATTGCAGATTGCCTTCAGAGAGTTTTCCAGGCCTCTCTGCAGTCTGGTACACAGCTTATCTCCCTGATTGCAAGCTGAACACAGGCATCTACTGGGGTTTACCTGGATTTTTCATGCTGCAGAACAGAGTACCTGAAAAGGAAGAACCCAAAGAGAATTCTGGAGATCTGGAGAAGAGTCCCCTTTTATATTCAACAGAGCATTGAGTAGTACTTTGTGGGGTGGGGTGGGGTGGGGGCACACAGAAAGTTAAGGAAAGAACTATCCAAAAGGTTTGAGAGAACAGTATACCATGCTCACACAGGGTATAGGCATAGTGCCATTCTGTCAGAATGAAAATCGTTTGTGAAACACTAGGTAGAGTTCTTGGAAAAGTCTTGTCCCAGTAGTGGGGAATAATTGGCTCTACACTAAACAGGGCTCTAGTTCTGCCTAACAGATCTGAAGAGTACGGCCTGAAAGGATCAGATTGTTTCTGGGTAACTTTCATTACAAAACTCAAGGATATATATGGAAATCAAAAAATACCTAGCACCCAAGAAAATTCTCAACTTGTGGTATCTAATTGAAGATTGCCAGATAAGCAAAGTAGTATGGCTCATTGGGGAAAAAAATTCAGTTAACACAGATAGAAATGACACAGATATTAAAATTAGACAAAAGTATTAGAACTGTCCTTGTTCAAAAAGTTTAATAGAGACATGGAAGATATACAGATAATGCAGATGTTTTGAAGTAGGGATTGAACTCAGAGGACCTCATGCATGCTAGGCAAGTGGGCTTTACCACTGAGCTACTTCCCTAGTCCTTGTTAAAAATTGTTGTTGGTACTGGAGATTGAACCCATGAGTGATCTACCACTGAGCTCCATCACTAGTCCTTTTCACTTTGAAACAGGATCTTGCTAAGTTTCTGAAACTGGTCTTGAACTTGTGATCTTCCTGCTTTAGCCTCCTGAGTCACTTGGATCACAGGCATTTACCACTATACCCGACTTAAAATTTCATTTTCAGACAGGTTTTCACTGAGTTTCCCAGGGTAGGCTTGCACTTGTAGTCTTACCTCAGCCTTTGAGTAATTGGGATTTAGATGTGTACCACCTCACTCAGCTAACAGTATTTTTAAGACTGTAGCTTCTAGAGATGAAAATGAATGTCTGATATGAAAATGTCTGATACTCTAAACATTTTTAGTACTTAGACTTAAATTAGTAGGTGAACAGATATTGTTAACTTGTTCTTATAATTAGTAGTTTTCATGGAATTCAGATAACTATTTAAATGGGATTTGTTTTTGAAATGGATGAAAAATTATAGAGAATAAGAGGGCTTACTTTAAGTACCTGAAAGGTGACAGGAATCTTTAACCTACTACATGCAATATCAAATTAGTAATCAAAATTGTGTCTCTGGGATAAGCCAAACATGTATCAGATCTGTAGGATATTTACTGTGTGATATCATCTCAGTTGAGTGATAAAATGAAAGATCATTTAATAAATGGTATTGTGGCAGTTGGCTTATTTCTGAAAGGAAAGTTAGGTCCTATCTTCTACCCAAACTCCAGGAAATTAAATATTTAAATGTTTATGGAATGGAAGAAAATACTGGTGAATACAATTATTTCATGGGGAATAACTTTCTAAGCATGATGCAAAGGGAAATGATAAACAATAGATTATGTTAACAGTTGACTTCCATTCTAAACACACTGGGAAACAACATTAAATAGTTCAATGGAATCATTATTATGTATACATCATATAATAGAAGGAATTCCTGGAAAATCATTTTGGTAACCTGGGTTCTCTGTGGTAGTACTTCTCATGAAAAAGAGATGCTTTTGTAAACTGCAGTACTGGAAGAACAAAGCTAGAAAAAAAAAATTCCAAGCGTTTATTTTTATTGTTAAGTCAACAGATATGATTACTCTGTCAAATTGTTATAAAACTTTCCAAGCTCTCTTAAATCCTTAAATATATACATTACTGACTGAGCAGTTCTTATTGTAGTAAAGTTAGTGTGTACAGATATTATTTTATTGGGGGAGATAGGAGAGTCGCCTCTTTTTCTTGGTATGGGGAATTGAACTCAGGCACTTGACTATTGAGCCACATGCCCAGCCCTATTTTGTATTTTATCTAGAGAAAGGATCTCATTGAGTTTCTTAGTGCCTCACTGTTGCTAGGGCTGGCTTTGAACTTGCAATCCTGCTGCTTCACCCTCCCAAGCCACTGGGATTACAGTCATGCGCTAACACACTAACTCTTAAAATGGAATGAATATTTATAGTGTTCCCATGGAATAAATGTTGCGTGACTAATTAAATCCTATTATCAAAGAGTATTTAAAAATAGGAAAGTGTCTTTAATCAGTATTAAGAATGGATTTCCAAATCCTGTTTGCAAATAAGAATATATGAATTAAAAGTACTATGTGCATATTTTTAAATGCTTTAAGTTTTTTTTTTAAGTTTTCTTTATGTGTTTTTGTAGTTCTGCTTGAGATTTCAAGAATTTTGAATACTGGCTTAGATATGGAAACACTGTCTATTTGTGTACGGCTTTGTGAACAAGGAATTAATCCAGAAGCTTTATCATCTGTTATTAAGGAACTCCGCAAGGCTACTGAAGCACTAAAGGTTAGAGATTCATGTGTTTGTTCATTCTAAATAAAGATGCTTTTGTTTGGAAAATGATTGATTATGAAGTTAGGTAAAAAAAAAATCCTAGTTAGGCAAAGTTAGATTAACTTCTAACGACAATAGGAGGAATTCTAAAGACCAGGGACTTTACAGCATATGTTCAGATCACTAAATTACTGTTATTATTTTCTCAAAAGTCTCTGGAGTTTTTCTATATGGTGAGTTAAATCTGCCTCCAAAAAAATATGCTCAAGTCCTATCCTTTGATACCCATGAATATGTCCTTATTTAGAAATAATGTCTTTGTAGGTATAACCCAATTAAGATGAGGGCATGATTAGGGTAGCCCCTAACTCCAGTGGATGATATCATTACTAAATAAGGGAAATTTGGACACAGACAATAGAATGGTGAAGACACAGTAAGTAGGGAGAAGGACATGTGTTGATGGAGACTGGTATTATAGAGTGATGCATCTATATATAAGTCAAGAAAAGCCGCAGGTTATCAGCAGCTATTAGAAACTGGAAAGAGGCAAGGAAGGATCCTCCCCTCGAGCCTTTGGAGAGAGTGTAGCACAACTGACATCTTGATTTTGGACTTCTGAACCTCCAAAATTGTAAAAACTATACATATTCCTGTGTTCTTAAGGCCACCCAGTTTGTGGTAGTTTATTTTGCAGCCCTATAAGCCTAATACAAATTTTAAGACCAGGAAGTAGAACAAAACAAACACTGGAACAAATACTTCAGAATGTTTAAGTGGCTTTGGGATTGGGAAATGGAGAGAGACAAAAGTTTAAGGTGCTTAATAGAAAAAGCTTAGATTGCCTTGAAGAAACTTTATAGAACTGTAAACACTGAAGGTGCTTCTAGTGAATGCTCAGAAGAGAGGAGAGTTATAGAGGAAGATTTATTCCAGAGAACATGTCAATTATTAGGAAGAGAATGTTGCTGGAAGTATGAACATTAAAAGCACTCTGGTGCAGCCCCAGTCACAAAGAGGAACATTTATTGGACACTAAGGGACAGGTGACCTTTGTTATAAAAGTGACAGAATTTGACTGAATTATGTTCTATATTAGAAGGAGAATTGACTATGTAAGTGATGAACTTGGATATTTAGCTGAGGAAATTTCCAAGCAGAAGTGTGAAAGATGCAGCCTGATTTCTCTTTGTTGCTTATGATGTAATGTGAGAGGAATGAGAAATTGAAGAAGGAACTGCTAAAAGAACCCAGCACTTGGTTTGGAAAATTCTTAGCCTATCTGGATAGCATGCTCTGCAGACAGGGCCAATTTTGTGTCTAGCAAACCTGTTTGTGAAAAGATTACGTGTGATACAGACCCAGTCAGCCACTTTGGCACAGACATAGTTGGTTTAGACTGAAAGGGAAAAAATGAAGTGAAGAAATGCTTTCTGATTACTGGAATTCTGTAGGCTGGAAATTGACCTAGAGAGCTACTTAGCTGTGAAAATGTGTTATTCTTCAAGGAAAGAGGGGCATGGACTCAACTATGAGCATGCGTTATCCTTCAAGAAAAGGGGATGAGAGGCTCAGAGACTGGGGGACACTGCCGTTGCCAACTGGAACCCACAAAGCTTTATTTTTTCCAGATTCAACATGTTTCCAATCTTAGCAATCAAAAGGTATTTAGTATCGTGTTCCCTCTCTTGCTTGCACACAGTCTCTGCTTTAAAATCTGTGGTCAGTTTATTTCCGTATTTATATGTCACTAACTACAAATAGTGAAACAAAGTTATTCCATTAAAACTTGTCCAACAACAAAGTGATTTCTCTTTTACCTCTGAGAGTATGGAACTCTGAAACATGTAACTAACCATCTTTCAAATTAAATTATTTTCCAAAGAGTTCCAAAGTTTTGGGTATTTGCTTTTTAAAACCTTTTGATTATTAAATCTAACAGAAATGTAATGAAATTGCATTTATACAAGATTTATCATAAAATGTCCACATTAATTGTCAATGCCTGCACCCTAAAAATTACCTTGTATCCTCTCCCTAATTGCTAACCTTTCTCTCTACTCCCTTCTGCCAGTAACTGCTATCCTGACATTTATTCTTTCAACAGTTTATTCACTAAACTTGGATCTCTAAACACTAGTTTATTTTTGTAAAATTTTTGAGCTCCACAATAAATGGAATCTTACCAAAATCTTTTTACTGGGTTCTTTCATTTAACATTATGTCTGTGAGGTTCATCTGTGTTGCCTATAGCTATAACACATCCTTTTTCCCTGAAATGTTTTATTTGACAAATATACCAGTTTATTCTTTCTATTGTTAATAGATATTAAGTGTTTCCAGTGTGGGCTCTTCCCACTCAAAGCTGCTTTGAGCATTTGTAGTTAACGTTTTCTTTTTTTTTTTCTTTTTAGGTATACATGACAGTAGAGTATATTTTGACATATTATACATACATGGAGTATAACTTTTTCTAATTAAGATCCCATTCTTGTGTACACAGAGTCCATGTCTCTTAAGAATGCATGTATATATACATTTCTGTTAGGTGTTTATCTAGAAGTGAAATTGCTGGGTCTTAGATTATGTTTTTCTTCTACTTGAATAAATAGTTATAGTGCCAAACATTTCAAAAATATATTTCCACCAGCTGCATGACTTCCTTTTTGCTTCATATCTTTTCATTGTTTATTCTGAGTCTTTAAAATTTTAGTCATTCTGGGGTATATATGAGTTTTTCATTCTGTTTGATTTGCATTTCTGAGTACCAAGGAGGTTGAATACAATTTTACATTTTTTTTTTTTTTAGATATCTTTCCAAGTCATTTGCCCATCTTTCTAGGTTGTCTTTTTTAACTCATATTTATAACTTTCATAACAAAGAAAAATAACTGGATAATGTCATAAGAATAGCTAGTATTTTTATACAAGTACTTTCCTTTTGGTAGATCCAATGCTATCTTGGCATTATTTCCTCTAATCACATAGTAATATGTGCTGCTAAGGAAACTGAAGCAATAGTGATTGATTTAACCTAAGTACTTAGAATTAAGTGGTTGAACAGGAATTTTAAGTTAGGCTGACCTCAGAGCTATTTACTTGACTACTGAGTTTCTCCCTACGATAGTATCTAAAGAGTATGTGAGCCAGCTATTTAGGGAAAGATGAAATGGTTTTTGGAAGCCAAATAGTCATTAGGCTGTGATGTGGGAACATTTCATCACTCAGTATTCTTTAATAATTCTGTAGATAAAAATTAAAACTATTAATAGTCTTTCATCAAATGTTTCTGAAATATTACTTGTTTGATAAACATCTTCCAGAACTAGAAGATGAATTTTTCTTGAATTATGCTCCAATTTGAAAGAGAATAATCAGAATAGGAAGTAATTTTTATATTATACCACAGTTTGGAGCTACAAGGGAACCCAAGGCAAATAAACCAACTAAGACAGGAGACACACGTAAGTGTTTGGTGTAGCATTTTCTTAGGTAACATACAACCCATGGTATTAAGATAGGAGGTTCAGAAATAACCTATTTGACATAGCTTTTCAATTCTAAGCATTCTCATATGGACCATAGTGAGATATGGGTGGCAAAATCCAGAAGTAAGATTTACAAAATCAGAAACTGTTGGCCATTTGAATAGAAGATTAATCTTCCTCACACACAAATCCTCTATAATGCATTCTCCTGTGATGTAAAGTGAATAAACCAGCATCTCATTAAACTAGAAAGGATAAGATGCTGAAACATTTCTAGCTAGGAAGAAATGCTAATTTAAATTTTTTTCTTTAATTTATGTAAACATAAAAATCATACATGGTCATAATTTTAAATTCCTTAAATTGGAAAACTTCAAAGAATGAAACAAAAAGGTTATCTAAGAATAACTGGCAATGATATTTGCTGATATCATTCCAGAAAGTATGATGCGTTTTTAAAAATAAAGTATACTTAATTTCACTGAATTATAAAAGAAGAATAGCTTGTTCATTTGCTTCTCCCTGGATTAGACTCTATTTCTTAACTGCTATATTGGGGTGGACTAGGTTGCTGTTTGGTTTAGAGCTGCCCTGAGCCCCACCTGACTTCTTGACAGACTTAAGTGTCAGATTGGGTTTTGTTTTGTTTTGTTTTGTTTTTGTATCATTGCTGCCAATAATTTTTTTTCTCATTTTTGTTTTCTTCTTTTGGCTTTAAAATTAGGGTAAAGAAAAATTGTTCCTGTTCTATTGTACTATTTTTATCTAGAATTGAATTGTATGGTACTTACCGTCTCTGTTTTAGAATGCATAAAATGTAAATCAGGGACATCTTGAAATGTTGCAAGGAACTCTTAACTACATAGAAAATGTTAACAATTTTTATGGATTTTTTTTTTTTTTTTTACCTTTCAGAGATTTGTATATTGATAGCATCTAGGTAGCTAGCTCCTGTCTCCAGTTAGAGAAATTCTTTAGCAATAATAGATAGGCTACTATATGTGTAAAATAAGGCAAAACAGCAAAATAGGATTGCTAATTAAGTATATTTTATAAATGATTCTTTATTGGTACTGAATTTTTATATTATCTTCCCAGTACTAGTATTTATGTTTGAACAATACTATTTGAGAAATTCTGGACAAAACCCACTTGGCATGGTCTTTTGTTTTAATGTGGTGTTCTTTGAATTATATCATTATTGACACACCTGTAGACACTCTGTCTCTGTCTCTCCCCCTCTTCTTCTCTTCCCCCTCTCCCCCCACCCTTCCTCTCCTTCTGTCTCCCCTTCTCTCTCTTTCCCTTTCTTACCATCTCTCTCTCTCTATGATACTGAGGGTTGAACCCAGGGCCATTGTACCACTGAGCTACATTCCCAAAGCTCTTTTTATTTTTTATTTTGAAGCATGGTCTTGCTAAGTTGCTGAGGCTGATCTGGAACTTTGGATCCTCTTGCCTCAACAGTTAATGGGCGAGGGCTATCACACCTGGCTGCCTTGACCTTTCTCTTGATGTCCTGTACTATTGATGTCCTTTGGGTACATCTGTGTTGTCCTTTCACTGTGTAGGAAGATCTGCCATATGAGGATATTGGAGCTGTAGAATTTGGAGTCGAGAGAAATTAAAGATTAAATAATTCTCATGTCCCCAAGGTAGGGAAGGAGTAAACCCTTACACAGAAAAGGGATGTTTGGAATAGAGGACTATTGAATTTTGACTTTTCCCAGGACTGATCCTTGGTAAATTTTGGGAGTGTTTAGTGGCGATCTGGTAACTATATGGATCTCTAGGGTGCTATTGTTATTTTTTCAGATAGAAAGCTCTGCATTTATATAAGAAAAATGCTACAGTATTACTTTCCTACAGTAAAAATACTTGTTTTGATGTCTGTATATTGGAGGAGAATTTCTATAATTAATACGAAAAAGGAACAAGACAAATTATATTTGAATTAAAACAAAAATTGTATATATAATTTCAAGTCTTTATTAATAGATAATAATGAATATAGGTGATACTGAGAATGCAGCTAGGGAGATAACAGTGCCTAAAGGTATGTAGCTAAAGCTATTATAGGAACCTATAAGAATAGAAATTATTTTAAAATGTGGAATTACTTTAAACTAGGTTCTAATTCTCTTGAGTAGTAAATACAGAAGAGGGAAATTCTATTGTAAGTGAGGGTTTGGGAGCTGCCTAAACTATAGGAAAAAAGTCTGTTCTGCTGGTTGTAAAGAAAAGTTTTCAGCTTTATTTCAGATTGCATTATTTACCATTCATAAGTATTTTATAATTGAAAGAATTTATAACTCTTTTCATGAAAGAATTCTGAACTTAATCTACACTAAAAGCAAGTTTTAATTAGGAAGTAGAAATAAAATATATTAAAAGTCTCACATATTTCAAAGATCAAATTTGTCATTTTCATATTGGCATTAAGAAATTACTTTTTTAGCTAGGCATGGTGGCACATGCCTGTAATCCCAGTGGCTTGGGAGGCTAAAGCAGGAGGATCTCAAGTTCAAAGCTAGCCTCAGCAACTTAGTGAGACCCTGTCTCGAAATAAAATATAAAAAGAGCTGGGGATGTGACTAAGTGGTTAATCACCCCTGGTGGGGGGGGGGAATAAATAAATAAATAAATAAATTACTTTTTTTAGATCTGTTAATAGTACATGTTTTTTGTTGTTGTTGTTTTTATACATGCCAGACCATTTATTGATGAATGATAGAGTACATAGGAGTTTCTTTAGAGACAAGTGGGAAAGTATAGTTTTGGAGGGGAATAGGCAAGACAAGATTAGCCAAATGTTCATTATTCCTTTTTGTTCTTGTAGCCTTAAAAGGTTTTTTTTTTCATTCTTAATTTCCTTTTTGCATTACAATAAAACATAGAAAAGAGATTAATGAAGATTAAGGTATGTTAATTTTTCAAGTAGCAGAACATTTTTACACATACTCTTATTAACTTCTATTGAAGATAATATAACTGTTTTCTACTCTTAACCTAGCAGTAAATTTAAAAAGTAGTTCTGATTTAGAACAAAAACAATGAAAACCACTGTATTCTGATAAAAGTGGTTTGGTTGCATGAGAAAATAGTTGTTTGCTAAATAAGGTGTAGTGTAGTATTAACAAATTTATTTATCTCCATGGTGTCTCTTTTCCATGGTTTTTAAATAATGAATATTATTTTCTTTTTCTAGGCTGCTGAAAATATGACAAGCTGACTTTCTGGAGAGATCCTGATGAGATATGTCAAATTCCTCAAGAGGATTTGAAGATTGCATTTTAGTCAAGAATGTACAGTGAAATTACTGCATGCAGCAGTGTAGAAAAATTTTCCTTTTAAAAAGAATTATAAAACCATAGCTTTATAAATCAGTGGAAAGTGGCTTACAGAGAGAACTATCAAATGTGTTTGCATCGAATCTTTTTTTTTTTAATGCCCCTAATGTTTTGGCATTGCTATGTTTATATTTATGTATTCCTTATTTATAGCTCTGATAGCTTTAATTTTCTAAGCAGTCTGTCTATCAGATGTGCACATCTGCTGTGCCTGGTGGAAGTATAGTGGAACCCATCAGTATTGATGTGTCATAGTTATGACTTGTTGACATTTCCATTATAAACTTTAATTTTGAATTGTTTATGCATAATAACTGTTGATTTATGTTGTATCAGGCTGAAAGTTGACAAGATTTTAGCCACCATGTAAGAATTTGTATTTAAATTCCCCATGTATACCAGAATCTTGTTTTTTAAAATG